CTTATCCCCTACACCTATAGGAATACTTTTTTTACAAAACTTTTAATTGGCACCTTGTCAAATGCTATCTGAAAATCCAGATACACCAAGTCTAGACTCTTACCCTCATCTACATAAGCAGTAACCTTTTCAAAAAATGTCAAAAGATTTATAAGGCAATATTTCCCCTTAGTGAAACCATGTTCATTATCCAACAAAATTCTAAACTTTGTTAAATGACTTTCCCACAACTGATGCAAGACTAATGGGTCTATAATTACTGGGACAATCTCATTGAAAAGAGGAGTGACATTAGCTATCTCCCAATCTTTTGGCACTTGCCCACTATTCAAATCGGTTAACATAGAGTCTAAATCAACATGTAGCAAATCACTTAACACAGAGTGTAATTAAACATTTAATTAATCAGTTACCCTAAAAGTTAGATACTCGTCTAACATATCAGTTACCATAAAATCAAAATATAATCAAACAAATCAATTACCATAGAATAATAAACATCTAACAAATCAGTTACCATAGAGTATAAATAAACGTCTAACAAATCGGTTACCATAGAATCAAAATATAATCTAACAAACCAATTACCATAGAGTATAAATAAACATCTAACAAATCAGTTACCATAGAGTATAAATAAACGTCTAACAAATCGGTTACCATAGAATCAAAATATAATCTAACAAACCAATTACCATAGAGTATAAATAAACATCTAACAAATCGGTTATCATAGAATCAAAATAAATATATAATAAATCAGTTACCATAGAGTATAAATAAACGTCTAACAAATCGGTTATCATAGAATCAAAATAAATATATAATAAATCTGTTACCATTAGAATATAAATAAACATCTAACAAATCAGTTACCATAGAAGAAAAATATACATCTGACAAATCACAAGTTTTAGGAAAAAACAGATGCTATGAAATAGTACAAAAGTTTAATTTAGAAGACAGATAACACTTGGCGTTGTTCATGCTATCTAATTAAGAAGACAGATAACACCTGACGTTGTTCATACTATTTAATTAAGAAGACAGATAAAACCTGGCGTTGTTTATACTGTTTAATTAAGAAAGATAACACCTGGCGTTGTTTATACTGTCTAATTAAGAAGACAGATAACACCTGACGTTGTTCATACTGTCTAATTAAGAAGACAGA